TATGTTCTATGGTATAACTTGTACGGTTATACCAAAAATTAAAGAGCACTCCAAATAAAGTCATTTATTCCAATGACCCAAATCTCTTCTTTCTTATTTTATTGGTAAATGACATTTGTTATGTGTTTATAGAAAATGACAAAACCATGATGTCTAGGCAACCAAATTGATTACAATTTCTGAGAAATAGACAACACAATCTTGACAAGAAACCATGTAAAATTGATTAGCCATCCATTAGTTAAAAATCCCCTCCTCCTCTGTATCTATTCAACTCCAATCTCATCTCATCAAATGATTATGACCGCTAACTTATTATCTACACTTGGAATCATGATTTGTATTCATATAAGTTCAAAGTTTAAATATATTGCTAAATAAGAATATTGTATAGTGACCAACATGGGTTACGTTGTAGTGCACTTATGAAAGTGTTTTACCCTTAATCAGAGGTTTCGGGTTCGAGTCCTGGGTATGGAAAAAGACACCGGACGGATGAGAAAAAAAAAAGGGTATATTATATAGTGGAAAGGGCTAATTTTTCATCCTACATGGGACATGCCACCAAAATTTGTGAGTCATCTTAATTAAAATTCACTTGCTGCTTAAGGCTAATCTAGTCCTAAAAGAAGCATATTATTTGGTGGTACATTTACTCTCTAAGGGTATTCAAGGTGATTAGCATCAAACCTAAATTTTAGAAAAAGATATCACGCTTTTTATGATCCGTTGAAGTTTTGTTTAGACATGTAATTTAAATTTCTTAAGTATTTTTTTTTTCATAAACATGAAAATCTTAGAAGTTGTGAACACTATAAAAAAAATTCCAATTCTTATACAATCTTACCAAATGTGCAAAACATAATTCATAAACAAGATATCAAAATATCCTTATAATCGCCACATTGATAAACTACATATCTATTGGAAAGCTATTGCAAGTCATTTCAATCCATTGAGAGACATTTTCAATCTTTTTGTGCTAAATTATGATTAAAAAAACTACCATACATTTTTAACCCGTAAGGGATACCTTTTTTAACCCATCAAGGCTACCTTTTCAACCCGTGCTTTTTTCAACGCACATGCTTTTCTAAACCAATTTTTAATCAAAAATAATGGCAAACAACAGTCTCTCTTTGAATGTCACAAAAAATTTCATAGACGAAACTTATCAAATTTGGTCTATGAGAATAAAACTAGAAGTCCTTCCGGCCCCTTGTGACTGTGAATTGAATGAATAAACAGATGAAATCAAGATAAAAGAAATCCTTGATGAAATCAAGATAAAAGAAATTTCTGAATTGAATTTGTGAGGGTCGTTCTAGCTATATAAGAAATCCTTGATTAATAATAACATAATAAGATAAATAACTTACTTCAGAAATCCCTTATGGAATCGCTTACTATTTCTGAATTTCAAAAAATAGATCAAAATAACTGGGGATATTATGTGATTTATTAGTATTCTAAATCTTATTTGGTATTCAAAATATCCGATCCAAGTATTACAACTCTTTCTACCCATCCTGTATATTGTCCGCTTTGTTCCGTGTTGAAATAGAACCTTAATTTATTACTTATTATTAGATTTTAGATTGTTAGATTAGTTAGTGATTAGATATTAGTATTAGACGAGATTTTACGAATTTTTTTTTATTTCTTTATAGGAGAGGACAAATCTCTTTTTTTCGATGCGAATTTGACACGACATAGGAGAAGCCGCCCTTTATAAAAAATTCTATTATTTTGAATAATAAAAGGGGGTTCCAACATATTAATATATAGTGAAGTGTTCCCCCAGATTCAGAACTTTTTTGAATACTTACAATCCGTATTAGTTAATAATCCTAGTGATTGGATTTCTATGCTTAGTCTGATAGGAAATAAGATATTCAAATAAATAATTTTATAGCGAATGACTATTCATCTATTGTATTTTCATGCAAATAGGGGGCAAGAAAACTCTATGGAAAGATGGTGGTTTAATTCGATGTTGTTTAAGAAGGAGTTCAAACGCAGGTGTGGGCTAAATAAATCAATGGGCAGTCTTGGTCCTATTGAAAATACCAGTGAAGATCCAAATCTAAAAATGAAAAACATTCATAGATGCAGTAATGTTGATTATTTATTCGGCGTTAAAGACATTTGGAATTTCATCTCCGATGACACTTTTTTAGTTAGTGATAGGAATGGAGACAGTTACTCTATCTATTTTGATATTGAAAATCAGATTTTTGAGGTTGACAACGATCATTCTTTTCTGAGTGAACTAGAAAGTTCTTTTCCTAGTTATCGAAACTCGAGTTATCTGAATAATGGATTTAGGGGCGAAGATCCCTACTATAATTCTTACATGTATGATACTCAATGTAGTTGGAATAATCACATTAATAGTTGCATTGATAATTATCTTCAGTCTCAAATCTGTATAGATACTTCCATTATAAGTGGTAGTGAGAGTTACGGTGACAGTTACATTTATAGGGCCATTTGTAGTGGTGAAAGTCTAAATAGTAGTGAAAACGAGGGTTCCGATAGACGAACTCGCACAAAGGGCAGTGATTTAACTATAAGAGAAAGTTCTAATGATCTCGAGGTAACTCAAAAATACAAGCATTTGTGGGTTCAATGCGAAAATTGTTATGGATTAAATTATAAGAAATTTTTGAAATAAAAAATGAATATTTGTGAACAATGTGGATATCATTTGAAAATGAGTAGTTCGGATAGAATTGAACTTTTGATCGATCCGGGTACTTGGGATCCTATGGATGAAGACATGGTCTCGCTGGATCCCATTGAATTTCATTCGGAGGAGGAGCCTTATAAAGATCGTATTGATTCTTATCAAAGAAAGACAGGATTAATCGAGGCTGTTCAAACAGGCATAGGCCAACTAAACTAGATTCGGGGGCTCTTGCTATAGCCGAACGCGAGGGAAGGATCGTTTATACCAATACTGACAAGATTTTTTTAGCAGGTAATGGAGATATTCTAAGCATTCCATTAGTTATATATCAACGTTCCAATAAAAATACTTGTATGCATCAAAAACTCTGGGTTCCTCGGGGTAAATGCATTAAAAAGGGACAAATTTTAGCGGATGGTGCTGCTACGGTTGGTGGCGAACTTGCTTTGGGGAAAAACGTATTAGTAGCTTATATGCCGTGGGAGGGTTACAATTTTGAAGATGCAGTACTTATTAGCGAGCGTTTGGTATATGAAGATATTTATACTTCTTTTCACATACGAAAATATGAAATTCATACTCATGTGACAAGTCAAGGCCCTAAAAAAGTAACTAATGAAATACCGCATTTAGAAGCCCATTTACTCCGCAATTTAGACAAAAAAGGAATTGTGATGCTGGGATCTTGGGTAGAGACGGATGATATTTTAGTAGGTAAATTAACACCCCAAGTCGTGAAAGAATCTTTGTATGCCCCGGAATCTAAAGGGGTGATATTTTAGTAGGTAATACTCTAAAGGGGTTATACGATATATCCGGTGTGGAAGTAGGCCAACATTTCTATTGGCAAATAGGGGGTTTCCAAGTACATGGCCAAGTACTTATTACTTCTTGGGTTGTAATTGCTATCTTATTAGGTTCATACATGTAAGACATGTAAGAATTATAGTAGGGATCTTCGCCCCTAAATCCATTATTCAGATAACTCGAGTTTCGATAACTAGAAAAAGAACTTTCTACTCATGGGGAGTTAGCCGCACCCACGAATGATATAACAGTAGTATATATATATATATATATATATATATATTTTGATGACAAGGGAAACCCGCAGCCGCTACCCTTTGGGTGCGCACAAGGTAAAACCTCCACCCCTATGCAATAACTCGCAAACCACATAGGAGAGGTAACCCGCACTAGACTACAACTTCAATACGGTATTACCGAATACCATACCAAACTGACATTTAATGTACCGATTACCGAATCACCGAACCGAAATTTAAATTTTGATATTTGATATTTGCTTTTAACTATCAATTACTGAACTCAAAATTTGGTAATCCCAAACCGAATACCGAACGCCCACCCTTCCTCTGTCCCTATTTACTTGTCCAATTTTGACTTGACACACCTATTAAGAAAATAATAATTGACATGGTGTACCATTTTACCCTTTTTAATTGCAAAGAAGTTTTACCTTTGTCAAAAACATTAACTCTCTAAATAAATTGAGAGTATAAAAAATATTGTATTTTCTTGATTTGTCAAAATTAGACAAGTTATTAGGGACAAAGAAAGTATAAAAGTGAATATAATAAACTCTCTCACTTTTATAAATTAAACAAGTAAATATTGATCATCTATTTTTAGCAACAAATAAATATGAAATGGAGGGAGTAGTAATCTTGGAAAGTAATACATATTTCAGTCAGATTCCACAGGTTCTTAGTTTAAGCTCTCCTTTTTTTTTCTTTCAAAAGTAGCCTCTAGACAGATTTTCTTCTAGGAAACAAGAATTGACATTTAGGAATTAAAATATGTTAATCTTGCCCCAATAATCAATTAGCCCAGCCAGTATCTGACATCAGTTGAAAGTGATTTCCCACTGCTTACTGTCCTTTTTTTCAAATATATATTGTCAGCAAGATTCATACAACAAACTTTAGTTTATCCTCACTCTATTATATTTACAAGGGTACTAAACAATTCATACTTTAAAAGATGTTGAATATCAGCCCCTTTAAATTAACCACTTCCAAGAATGTTCCATTGCTGCTATGACCATCCTTAACCCATAGAATAACACACACATGGATGCAATGCAAACATTCTACTCCCTCTGTTCCAGTTTATTTGATATAGTTTGACTTGATACAGTTTTAAAAAAGAAAAAAACTTTTAAAATTTGTAATTTAAAATAAGTCATATAGCATATTTATGTGCTATCAACAGTAAAATTGTTACTAAATACTATGTGTTCATTAAAACTGACTAAAAAGGAAGATGATTATGATGTACACCAAACAAGAAGAAAGAGAGTTACATGTAATTGACAATAAGTAAAAGAAGAGAAATTTATGTTTTTGCCAAGTCAATTTTTTCTATCAATCTCTAATTCAAGTATGAAATACAATGTTTGTTTGCAATTTCAGTGTATGCTATTGGTCCTAGAAAGCAACATTTTCATCAATTTGCACAAAGAACTATCCACTTGGACTAACTTTAATTAAGAAAAACAAATGTGAAAATATAATAATAACTTGAAAGAATTACAACACATAAAAGTTTCAACTCCTTTCATTAAAGGAGAGAAGTACCAGCATGGTTATGGTGCAGAAGATTATGAGCAATGGCATCCCTTGCAAGCCTAGCATTGGTCGATCTCAATTGAATCTCAGGAACCATTTCATCATCAATGAGCTCGAAATTGAGTTCTGGATCCATTTCCTCATTCCTCATCTGGCAAATATTATGCAACACGCAGCACGCCCCTAGCACCACTGGCAAATCTTGAAGTTTCACTTCTGTTCTTTTCTGCAAACAAGACCATCTCCTTTTCAATCTCACAAACGCCTCCTTGGCGACCCGTTGAACCTCACCAATCTTCTCATTGAAAGCATGTTGAGTCCAAGTCAGCTGCTGCTGTGTATAAGGCACTAAAATCCAATCCATTAAAGGGTATCCAGAACTCCCAACAATCCAAACATTGTTCAGTAACCCTGTATTCGCCCTCTGAAAAAGCGCAGATTTCTCCAGCACCTGATCATCAGGCATCGAACCAGGCCAACCGATACACACATCAGTAAACACCCCTCTTGGATCAACCACACCTTGGACTGTAATCGAATACGATGTCTTCTGATTCCTCTCTGTATGCCTCTTATTAAAATAAGCTGCAACACTAATTTTGGGAGCAATTATAGGTATATGAGTTGTATACATTGATCCCACAACATTAGTGATCCCTGACATATCCTCATACTCATCCTTTATATCCCTCATTTTCTTTTCATCAGGCCATTGAAGATACTTAGGCATCAACACAGTCCTAATTGCAGTACAAACCTCTAGCACAAGCTTATGGCAAGTCGAAATCCCCAATCCAAATCTCTTCGAAACCAATCTCAAAGGCTCTCCAGTAGCCAATCTCCATATACAAACAGCAACACGCTGCTTCACAGGTACAGCATCTCTTAGCATAGTATTCTCTTTCGCAACCACAGAACTCAGTTCATTACATATCAATTCAAAAGTATCTTTCCCCATTCGAAACGCTTTCTTAAACTCCTCTTCAGGGAAATCAGGACTGTTACATAGATCCCACCAAGCTTTTGATCTATTCTTCACCCACAATCGCCTATGAGGCGCACCTTTTTCACTAGATTTATTACTCGAAACGACTTCTTCCTCTGCGGCAGAAGCAAGGGCACAAGCAGAAGCAGTAGCAGTAGCAGTAGCAGTAACAGCAGCAGAATTTCCTCTCCCTTTCCGTTTTCGAACACCATCTAACTGTTCTAAGTCAGAATGATGCTGTTGAACATTTGAATAATAATCCCACATCACCTTAGTTGTTTTCTTATGATTCGCTTCAAATAGGTGTTTGTTCTCTTCTTCTTCCTTTGCAAATTCCTCTTGTTCAGACTTTTCTTGTTCTTCAAGAAACAACAAAGATGTTAATATCTGTTTCAACTCCTTTGTTTTCACAGCCCCTTGATTTTCCGACCCAAAATCATCATTATTTTCAGCTCCGCCATTACTACTATTAGTTGGGGTTTCTTTCCTTCTTCTACGGCGTTTATTGGGTAAACTGTTATGATTCATGATTTGAGAGGAAGATATCTAGAATTTTCTGGGAAAGAAGGGGGTTCATATATGGGGTAAAAGTAAAGAGTTTGAGAAAATGTGGTGTGAACGCATAGAGACTTTGTGATAAATGGGTGTTGAAAAATGGGATATATATGTGTACAGAGAATTATTAATTAATGAAGAAAAACGTGTGTGAACGCGGCTTTGGACTTGGATTTGAAGGAAGTTTCGAGGAGGCAAGAAAACGGATTTTGGCTTTGAGGCCAAAAAAGATAAGAGGTAGGTGATAAAGACGGTGACTTGGGACTTGAAAATAACATGCTTGAGATGTTTTTTTTTTTTTTTTTTTTGTTTCTCCTTTTTACAAGATACAAATCTTTTGACAAACATGTTTTTTTTTTTTTTTTTTAACTTTTAATTGTCATGTTACGTTTTTAAAAGTTAATTTGATTAATTTAACTTTTATCAAAGTTAAATTATATTACATTAATTTGATATTTTAAACAAAAAATGTAGATATTCAAATATTATATGAAAAGTATTATAAATTCCATTTTTTTCATATCAATATGATGAAAAAATATATCGTAAAATGTTAGTCAAAGTTATTATCATTTGACTCTAGAAAAGGAAATTATGACAATTAAAAGTGAATGGAGGTAGTATATTTTACTTCTCGATTTCATATTAATTGGTCTTTTTAAAAAAAATATATAAATAAGAAGATAATTTTACTAATTTACCTCATTTATTGGGAAATTCACAAATAAATGTCTAACACTTTTAAAATAAGATATGAAAAATTTAATTAATGTTTTATTGATTTAGTAAGGTGAACAACTAATCTAAAACAACTTTTTTTAAAAGATGATCAATTAATATAAGACGGAAAGAGTAGCTTTCAAACTCATAATTTAGAGTTAAAGTTAGAGGTGAAGAGTGTTTACTATCCCAATTTTATAAATTATTATTAATTTATTTTATTTAATTATTTTATAAAGTTTCTTGCTTTCACATTGTTTAATGTTTACCCTTCGATCCCTCTCTTGTCTTGAATTGTTTTATTTGAATTTATTCTTTTTTTTATTAAATTAATGTAATACCGTGGATATCTTGACCAGTTTTGCTATAGGATCTATACTAATTTAATAGTTTACTAGTTACTTCATTCGTTCATTTTTAAGTATTACTCCTTCTGTCCCATTTATGTGGCAACATTTGACAGGGCACGGAGTTTAAGAAATAAATGAAGACTTTAAAATGTTTACCAAATTGCCCTTTAAAAAGTAGACTCACTTTTCTCTCTCCTCATAAATGTATTGAAGTATTATTTTGAGATTAAGTGAGATCAACAAGGCTAAAAGAGAAATTGTACCTTTAAATACTTACCATATTAGGAAATGTGACATTCTTTTTGGGACTGACCAAAAAGGAAATGGTGCCACATAAAATGGGACGGAGAAAGTATATTTGTATCTGACATATTTTTTAAAAAGATAATGATTCATATGATTATTTGACCACCTTACTTCTATTAATTGAAATTTTTTTATTTGGTATTAGGTCTTGAAAAATAATCCGAAAATAAGTAATTAATGCTAAAAAAAATATGAAAAAATTAATCATCTTCTTTTCGATTTAAAAAGTGATAAGTAAAAATATATATATTTTTTTAATAGTAGACAAGTAAAAATATAAAAATAAAATATTCAGTGTGTTATGCATTTGTTTATATAAAAAGAAAAAATCACTTAATATTAATTTAAATTCAAAATTTTAATTTTTGTTGCTGGTTCTTCATCTTCATTTATAACTTTTTGGGGGTGTAATTGTTATGATATTCCTTTTTAAATAATTTGTAGCAATACAACATTAAGGTTTAAAGATTGAATAAAAGGGAAATAGACAAGAAATGACATTATTGAATTACTATTGTTAAAAAAAAAGTTAATAATGTGAATACATTTTTTTTCTTTTACATTTTTTTCCAATTGATCTTTGAATGGTTCTCAACATGTTAACGAGCTTGACAAATCACTTTTCTTTTTCTCAATTTTCCTACTTTAATAAAAATAAATAAATGAATAAAAACATTCTTGCCAAACCATTCACAAGATGAACGTTACATTTCTTTTGTTCAACTTTTGACTTCTTGGAGTTGTTTGTGTAAGTTACCTTTAAATGCAATATAAATTTTGACAAATATTCTATTTTTTTCATTTTATTGATATGAAATCTTTGCAATTTATAATATAGTTTTTGAATATTATTTTTTTGTATTTTAAAATATCAAATAATGTAATCAATTTTAGTTTTAAAAATTAATCAAGTTGACTCTCGAAGAAAAATGTAACATGACATTTTTTTTAGAGAGAGTATTAATTTTATTAGAAGTCCCTTGGTTCTTTTCATAGAACATTTATTATTTTCCTTTTTTTTTTCTGGTTAGCAAAAGAAGTAAATTATTGAATGAACTTGCTGATTTGTTTCTTTAATTATTGAAGATTATAGTAGTCCCCATTAATAAAGAATCTGATCAGACTCAGTTTCGTTTTTTATACAACTAATACTCTACTAATTTAGGGAACAAGATTTTCTTCTTATGTTTGACATCTAGCCCCTAAATATTTATTTTGATTTTTTATTTGGTATTTGGTATTTAAGTTTGAGTTCGATTTAATTCAGACAGCGCAATCATTTATGGAGTGACACTTCCAACATAATTTTTTTCATATTCAGAATTCGAATCAAAGCTCTAATTAAGATTGAAACAGTTATATCAATGCCATGTTAGTACATTTAGCACCTAGATATGCAATCATTAAATCTTTGTTTAAGAACTTCATTATATATGTAGAGTTGCATTGAAGTAGTATATTTGATCAAGTTATGTAGAGACATAGATAATTAAAATCATTTGAGAAGGGCAAGGCCCTATCTATCTTGATAATTTTGTCAATTGCGTGCGACATCAATCTTGACAAAGTGTAAACCAAAATGTGATATACATGGAAATTGTTGGGGTGATGGAACTTACATACATTTGCTAACATTGGATCCACATCATATAACCATCATTGATGTAAAATTGTTAACCAATGGGATGACCCTTTTTCAAGAAATACCTAATATTAAATGCACTATTTCAAAAGTGTCATGGATCAATAATTTTTTTATTATCGTGGTGTTCAGGTCACCTTGATTAATTTTATGGAATATCCATCACCTCCCATCAAGGACAGGTAACTCAGTCTATCAATAGGCTAGGACATACGTGAATAATCATCTAGTGTTTTTTGTCTCCTCTGAAATTCGACCGTAAGACCTCACGACTCTCAACCACTTTGTTGATCACTAGGTCTCAACCACTTTATAGAACCCGTCAATATAAATCTTAATTCTGCCCAGACCCCATGCATTTTGGAGAAAAGAAGTCTGAGACGCAAGAGTATTGCTTGCAATAATTTTAAAGTGACAAAAAATAAATTGCAATCACAAATAAAATATGAAGAAATATAACTTTATTAATAAATATTTAGGTACAGTTCTGTTCTTCTCTTGATTCTTCTCTCATAAGATTTATCTATGATTCGAGAGTCATTAATGACGTATTTCTCAAACTAGGATAATTGATTTTGATCTGTCTATGAATATTTCATGAATTTGCAGAATATTCGAAATGCCTCTTTAAGAGAATATAATAACCTTTATATAGACACACACTAGGGTTTATGGTTAGAGTAGCCTCCAAGAATTCTAACTGAAATCGAATACATGTTTTAGAGTTCCAACTAGAATTGAACACGTCTTGAAGAGTCCCACAAATTTTCAATGTCTACAAGTATTTCTAACATGTGTAGTATATCTGTTTATAGCAAATTTATGTATAACTACGTCAACTCATGATTTCTCCGTAAAACTAGATATTTTATATATATATTATTTTTTTTAATTATTTTTTTTGCTATAATAAATTTGTTGACATCGTGTTACAAGAAGGCTCAATGGTGCACAAAATTAATTGTATATATATTGAATTTTTTACCTAAAACACTAAGGATTAGTTATCACTCAATACATATTTTTCCTTTCTTAGTTTAGTGATCCTCTTATATTTTAAAAATTCTAGATTTACCTTGATATAGTCTATAATTGGGTGGCAGAAGAAGTAAGAAGTTGGCAAGTATGCATGTGAAGTGTGCATGAATGTCAACGAACGACAGTTTTGGGCTTGCTGTTGTTACGCGGTCACAGCTATATTACAGTTTCTTAACGTCAATACTCAATATTAATTATATTCTAGTCTAGGATTTCTACAATGCCAATTTGTCTTCCTAAATTGAGTTTATTTTAATATTAATAAAAGAAGAATATGATTAGTCAAACAAAGATGTAGCATTTGTCACGCATTCTATATAATACAGTACCAATAATATGATTTGAATGTTTCTACTCACCCAAAAACTAACATGTGTGTGAAGAGACCAAATTTTGCCAAAGGTGGTTTACGGTCACTTGTCTAATTGCTTTTGGGGTCAAAGTGGGGTTGGCCTAAATCCATAATGTTTTCACACTCTTAAAATGGAAACTGAATACAAGATCATTTTGTTTTTCAGGTTTTTCGTGGAATAATATTTATATTGGAGTCTGACATCAAATTTTTTAAAGTCATGTGATTTTAAATTAAAAATGTATTATATCTAGTAAAATGTCTATGTGAAAAGTTGAAATATAAAACTTACAACAAGGAATGGAAAATCAGTTTATTTAAACAGATTAAAAAGGAAAGTAATTTAATCGAGAGGATTTGAGTTTTGGAAGTTTTGTAAGAGATGATTTTGTGTGAAACCGACCAATCTCATGCTGGACTAAAATTTTAGTTAGCTCATAATTGCGCTAAATTTATGTCATGCTACCTACTTTAGGTATATAAGTCATGGGCCCTAGGGCTGATTAAATTTATTCTAAGACATTTTTGCTAAAGTAATCAATCATATGTGCTACTCTTTTCTACAAATGAAAGCGACACCATTATCTTTTTATTTTTGTAACATTTAATAACATCATATTATAGTAATACAAAATAAAGTCATGATATATTTTAAATTATAAACTTTAAAAGTTTTTTTTCTCCATAAGCTTCTTATTAATCAAACAACAAAATTTGTACTTAAATGGTGTACATCATTTATGTTCATAACCTCAAGAGGAAAGACTATTGGTGATATTTTTTGAATGAATATTTTTTTCTATTTTGTTGGTTAGATTTGTTTACAAAATTGAGGGAAGTAAGAAATAATATTTTATTAAAGAAATGTCACTTTCCCCATATTTAAACTTTGAATATATTTTGAAATGTTTTAATGATATCTGGTCATTTTGATCTCAAAATACAAGTAACTCTATGACAATATATATTAATAGTTTAAAAAACACTTGTCCTATGTTCGTTCAATTATAATTATTTAATAAAAAACTTTTATTCAATAATAATAATTCTATTTTACATCATATACTATATATACGATACACACGTACAACGCACGTGACGTAAAACTAGTATGTCATATAAATAAGAAGGATGGAGTAGTTTTTTATGTCATCATATAAATAAGAAGGATAGAGCAATTCTTTTTTTTTTTTTTTGTTTTTTTGGTTTCACATATGATGGTTTACTTTTGGAGCAAGATTAATTCGGTATCAGTCCGAAAAATCTCACATTAAAGATAAAGCACTTCTTAACAAAGACGATTCCGTAATTAGAAAGATTCGAGCCCGAGACGGTTAAGGCTTAAACAATATTCCATCCGCGCTTATATTAGTTGATCACTTTCCGTTTTACATGATTTTAAGAAATTATAAATAAAATGATCTATTTTACTAATTTATCCTTTATTGATATTGATGGTTATTTAGATAACTTATGAAAAATATGTTTAATATTATTCATAGGGCATATGAATAGATACATACAAAGTAATTGATGAACTTTTGGAAAAAAAAGAAAGAAAAAAATTAAAACTTCTAAATTTTTTCAAGCTTCCAAAGAGTATTTAATTGTAGGGATAAAATGAGAATTTTTTTAAATTAATTATAGCTTAATTTAATAAATGGACAAGTAATTTGTGACATAGTATATAGTAAGTAAGATGATCAAGTGATGTAGAGTACCTAGCTATAACAATTATATTGCAATTAAAAGAATGTTGTCCATATATATAAGCAAGTACATTAAAGGCTGATAGAATTGCAATAGGTCTCTCCTTAACACATTATATTGTAGTTTTAATCAGAGCGTAAACGGCTAACCACCATTGTTCTGGGTTTACAGCCATAGCATGATTGTTTAGTAGACGTTCAAATTGACGAAGTTTATTTATCAATATTAGTTGTTCTTATATTCTCGTGGTTACTATTTTAATGCTTAACTATCATTAAAATAAATGGATAATCTCTTTGTGAAATCAAACGACGAATGGATAAGTCAGTCCTGCTAACTCGTGTCACAGAACATACTGAAGCCATATTTGTAGTCCATATGAACAGACTGGGACCTCTTTTAATGGGAACAATAAATATTTACATTGTTAAGTATTCATTTCCACATTCCATTGAAACCAAAAGTATATTGGTACAACATTTCCTGTCCATTTTAAATAAAAGAAAAATATCACAGGACAGGCAAAGTAACAACACCAGAAGAACATTTTGATTTGGCACTTCTGTAACTTCTTTGGGAAGAGGATATTGATAATCAAAATGCCATACTTTCAGCAAACTAGTTTGGCCCAGTACAAAGCTCTTTGCTTCACAAAGAGAGGAACCAACATCATTGCCTCTTTCAATATGAATGCCGAATAACTACACAAATAGCAATTCCATCGTTTCTTCAGCTGGAAGATCAGCTCAAGTAAGAGATTTGCCAGCCCATTCTCTTTCTCGTCGCTTTTGCTTTGCCATCATTTTATTGAACTTCTCTTTCCCTTTCTCCAACAAAGGATCGTGTACCACGTAATCATTGGGGTCCTCACTACGAGACATTTTGTCCTGCCGATAGAACCAATAATTTAAAAAGGAGCAAAGAACATAATAAGCATGAAGGTTTCTGTGATTAACATTTTATATTTTAAGTGAAAAAGTTTGATTCCTACTAAATTCTCACTGACCCTCCCCCCCACCCTTCTCAAAACCAAGAAACGCCAGAAAAGCAAGCATGTAGAGGGCTTAATAATGGGGAATTGCACCATAAGGTACCAACCGCCTTAAGACCAAGTAACTCTAACCAGAAACAACATATAAACTTTATATACCTTTCCAGGTTCAGGAGTGAATTTTAATGTAACTGCTGCCCAATCAGATAATTCTTCCTCCTTGACCGCATTAGCAGATTCATTGGCTTTAGCAGACAGTCCAGCCTTAAATTTCTCCAATTTTGCTAGCATCTAGCAGACATACAAATAATGGTTAACTGCAAAGTTGCTTAGAACAAAGAAAACTAACAACAAGAACAGATATCCTTTCCACACAAGTCCAAAGTTAAGTCAGAATGAATCTAATTAATGTCTTCTAATTATTACCATGAAAACTCAACATTTTCCAACATATTAGAATTTACATAGAAACATGATTTCAAGTATTTTTTTCCCCTTGAGATGTTTAAATAACATCTAAAAAATGCAAGAACACCTGTAACAGAGACCATGGATGGACGCCAATTGGAAAGAATCCAAGGCAAACCCTGTAAACTATGCCAGTCTTAAAAATAAAGCACTACATATAATAAGTCAAAACATAGAAAACAGAAAATCAAAGAACATTTAGTTTATTTTAGCCATAGTGCCACGGCAAAAAAAAAAAACCTTAATTGCCACATGTATCAAGAAGGACAAAACTGGAAGAAATGGCTATTGGTTCAATGCAAGAGTCAGCTTTCGGGCAAATCACAAAATTCTTTTTTGGTCATGAAGTAGAATGGGAGAGTATATGAAAACAGATCCCTAATCACACATCTCATTCAGTGAAGCTGGACTTTATTCCAAAAATTCCTTCTTCCGTTCAAGAGGGAAGAAAGTTTTTTAGTGTCTGTGCTGGTAAGGGTGGGGGTATTTCCAATCCTATATCATCTACCTTAACCAATACTAGTGTCTTAAGCTCAATAAACGATGCTTCTTTATATGTGTCAGCCTGTACGTGCATTCCAATTGTCTACATCCTACAGATAAAGACCCTTTTTTTATTTACTTCATTATCTCTTTTATATTATTTTTCGTTGTGTTCCCAATCAATAAATTTCAAAACAGAGACCAGAAAGGAAATTTTAACAGTATTTTCTGGACAGCCAAAGAACAAGAAATAGATGCATACGTCTTCTTCGTGTCCTTTTCGTCCTCGTTTCTTTTGCTTTAGCAGCTGTCTTTCTCGTTCAGGGCCAGACAACAACTGTAAGTCTGTATTTGCATTGGCCATACGTTCAGCTCTTGCTTCAGAGCCTATACCTTTTCTCTTTAGAGACAACTTATCCACTTTTGGCTGGTCATCATCATGTTTAGCATCAGACCTACTAAAATCAAATTATGATCACTGAGCTGCAACTAATGAGCCTCTAAATATGCTAAGGGATAGAGCACATAGTTTATGTTAGAAAATATTACACAAAGAATTTTCCCATGAGTCATTTCTGCACCAAAAGAGAATATAAATCTGCAGATCAAACAGTTCAATATGTGGCACGAGAGTGAATACAAACCACAGTTTTATTAGTGTGACATTAATGGCTATCAATATGCCAATCTCAACCACGGATCCTTGGACACATAGCAAGCAACAAAATACTCAAGAAAAGTAGTGTATCAGCAAAAGGGGATCCCAGTATGCCTTATGGAATGAGCATGTAGTGATTTTTTTTCCCCATGAAATAATAACTGAACAAATTTCGTGAGAAGAATCCCAGTATACAAGTGGTATACCAATTGAAAGGAACCTATGCCAAAATATAATTCTCCACAAGTTGTCTAAGTAGTCTATACTAATTGGCACCTAAAGGGAGCTTACAAATTTACCAAAAAGAAAAGACATACCCTCATTTTTATTTTGTACAAAAGCAGTTTCCACCCTTTTAGAAGGAAATGCCAGCAAACAAGGCTTTCCCTCGGTATATAATCTGTTTTTTGATAACCGAGAAATCCCTGAGGGCCAATGATGCATGGGTCGAAACCTGGTGGATAATAGGTCTGTCCCTCTACCCTTCTCCATCTAAATACAAGGTTTTTGTCTATGGAAGGGTTCGAACACTGATGTGTGACCTAACCCAGACATCACATCTTGCTCTTACCACTAGGCCAATGCCCTGGGAGCTTCCCTTAGCATACAACATGTAATATAGGAAAGACGTAATCCATCATTTCAATCAAACCTGAGGACTTTCCTCAACCATCCAATCCATTTACTAAAGTTCTCATATTTAAGCTCCAATAGCTTCCTATTTCTCAACTTAATACCATCAATAACCTGCTATCCAACAAACAGTATTAAAGTAAATATGAAGAGGAGGGTTCATCGAAGACCAAAAACATTAACAGTTCATATGGAGTCAGTGACTAGAAGACTATCAGGAATTTACAGCTCAAATATTCAGCAACAAAATTAGCATCAGAATTGGAAATAGTGAAAAAACTCCCTTTTGGGAGGATAACTAACTAGGTAATGGCCCCCTCAAGCTCATGTACCCTGATATCTTTATCCTAAACCAGCAACAAAGGGCTAGCACTGGTAAAGTTTGGAGCAACTAGGAGTGGAATCTAAGTTACAGGAGAGCTTTGAATGACTGGGAGCTAACAGATTTGTTGCGTTCCTTAAAATCATCAATCAGTTCACTGGAACAGTTCAAACTCAAGACAGATTGGAATGGAGAACAGAACTCAGGCACTTTTTAGTAACAATCTGACATTGTTATGGCTTTGGAAGCACATTTGGAAAACTAAGACCCCATACCCCTACAAAGTGACATATTTTGTTTGGCTAGTAGTCAAGCAAGCTTATTTGACTTAGGACAGGCAACAGAGAAGGGGAATACAACTTTGATCTATCTGCCACTTATATGGAAAAATACTACTGAATATCATTCCTTGAGGAAGAATGTGATAAAAGGTAGGGTTCATCGAAGACAAAAAAACGTTACCAGTACATATGGCGTCAGTGACTAGAAGACTATCAAGAATTTATGGCAAATATTCAGCAACAAAATTAGCATCAGAATTGGAAATGGTGAAAAAACTCCCTTTTGGGATCATAACTAGCTGTGTAATGGCCCCCTCAAGCTCACATACCCTGATATCTTTATCCTAAACCAGTAACAGAGGGCTAGCAATCGTGAAGTTTGGAGCAACCAGGGTTGGAATCTAAGTTACAGCCTTACAGGAGAGCTTTGAGTGCCTGGCAGCTGACAGATTTGCTGAGTTCCTCAAAATCATCAATCAGATCACTGGAACTGTTCAAACTAAAGACAGATTGGGATGGAGAGAACAGAACTCAGGCATTTTTTCAGTAACAATCTGACCTTGTTATGGCCTTGGAAGCACATTTGGAAAACTAAGACCCCATACCCATACAAGGTGACTTGTTTTGTATGGCTAGTAGTCAAACAAGCTTATTTGACTTAGGACAGGCTACAGAGAAGGGGAATACAACTTTGCTCTATCTTCCACTTATGTGGGAAGTATGCAGAAACAAACAGTCATCTCATTTTGCACTGCAGAGTGACTACACAACTTTGGGACATCGTCCTTGCTATTGTTGGTCTGAGCTGGTCAGTGCCAACGACTACTCTTGACATGCTTCCCAGCTGGAACAGAAGGGGAGGCACTAAGGTACAAAAGAGAAGATGGAGTATGATCCCAGGCTGTATATGGTGGACTATGTGGAGGGAAAGGAATCTAAGATGTTTTGAAGGAAATAGCAACCGAATCCAGAAGATAAAACTTAGTTGTATTGTGATTTTTCATTTTTTGGTGTAAACAGGGGTACATAGGCGACACTGAGGCTCTAATGCAAGTTTTAGAGTCTCTATAGAGCAACATTTTTTGTTTAGATTAGTCTTGTTCACTTTTGTAATTATGGCTTCACAACCTTACTGAATTTAATATAAGTTTGTTATCTCAAAAAAAGAAGTGGCTAGCATGTTCTTAATGTTGAAAAATACAACATTACCAGTTTCAGAAAAAAAAAGTGAGTCAGGAATTAATATGAAGAAAGTTTAGGGTTTTCGGGGGCTGTTTTGTTCTTCAAAACCTAAATTGCATGGGTTGATATGGGTGGCTTTTCAGAGTTTTGGGGCTTATTGTATACTACTCCCTCCATTTCAATTTATTTGTCCTACTTTCCTTTTAAGTCCGTTTAAAAAAGAATGTCTCTTTCCTTTTTTGGCAACTCTTTAATTTCTACTTTTCACATAGCGTGTTTAAGACCACAAGAATAAAGGACAATTTGGTACATTCTACATATCTTTAATTTAAGACCACAAGATTCAAAAGTATTCTTTTTTTTTTTTGAGAAAGTAACTTGTATTATAAACAAAGAATACATAAGGAGTATTCTAGTAATACTTACATCCAAAAGTTGCTAAAAGAAAAGAACTCCTATGGAGGTCATAAGAACTCTAAAATACTAGGAATATCCTCTGCATCTTGAGGATATTCATGTTTACACCAAAAAAAGAAAAGAACCATGCAATTCAACTTCAAATTCTACATAGAGCAGCTCTTGTTTTTAAAACATCTCTGGTTCCTCTCCATCCATATAGACCACCAAATGCAGGCAGGGACAATCTTCCATCTCTCCCTGTGTCCTGACTGATTCCCATCTCTGTTCCAGCAAGCTAGAGCTTCTTTGATGTTCCTTGGCATAGTCCAACTGATGCCCCTTAAGTTGATGAAAATCTGCCACAACTTCGCAACCTCTCTACAATGTAGAAAGAGATGATTTATTGTCTCGACCTCACATTCACAAAACCAACACCTGGAACAGATTTGCATGCCTCTTTTCATGAGGTTGTGTTGAGTGAGTGCAGCCTGATTGGCTAACAGCCAAGTGAAGCATGCTATCTTGAGTGGTATCTTGACTTTCCAAATCATCTTCCAAGGCCATCCACCTATATGAGTACCAGGTCTTTGTGAGCTTCTATAAGCCGAGCCAACTGAAAATCTGCCTTGCTCATCTGGATTCCAAAATAGATTGTCCTCATCTGTGTTTAGATCTTTGTACTGCCCTAGAATGTTGAGTAGCTCAACTATTTTATTGACCTCCCAATCATTTAGATGTCTTCTAAACCTTAGATCCCACCCTTGATTATCTCTCATTTCTCTGATTGTAGCCTCTTTTTGAAGGCTCATGTTGAACAAAATAGGGAACCTATTTCTCAAAGTCACCTGATCCACCCATTTGTCTTCCCAGAACAAAGTCCTTCCACCATTCCCTACCTTGATTTTGCATTTGTTAAAAAATTTGATCCATAAATTTCTAATGGATCTCCATACTCCAGATCCATAGGGTTGTGTGGACAGGTTGGTGATCCACAAATTCTTCATACCAAACCTAGCCTTTATTGTTTCCTTCCAGAGAGCTTGTTCTTGTGAGGCAAATCTCCATAACCACTTCATAAGTAAGCTTTGATTCTAGATTTTCAGATTCCTTATCCCCAAACCTCCTTCCTTTTTGCTGAGAATGACTTGGTCCCACTTCACTAGATGGAATTTATGATTATTAGGATCACAATTTCCTTGCCACAAAAAATTCCTCCTAATTGCATCCATTCTATCAATCACATTTGCAGGCATATGGAAAACAGACATCATATATGTGGGTAGAGCATCTAGCACACTGTTGATGAGTGTGACTCTTCCTCCCAAGGGCAAATATTGACTCTTCCAGTTCACCAGCTTCTTCTCACACTTTTCTAGAATGTTGTTCCAGATACCTTTTGACCTGCTCTTGTCACCCAAAGGCATGCCAAGGTATGTTGTGGGGAGATCCCCTATCTTCCCCCCTAGAATATTTGCAAGCATGTTTATCCTAGGCACCTCATTGACAGGAAAGATGAAGCTCTTTCTCCAATTGATGTGTAGGCCTGAGATGGCTTCAAAAAGGATCAGAATTACTCTCAAGTACTTTAGTTGAGAGCTGTCTGCATCACAAAATATCAATGTGTCATCAGCATACTGTAAGTGGGAGATGGCCAGACCTTGTCTGTTATTCATATTAGCATTGAATCCTCTTATCCATCCTCTTGTTTGGGCTGTTTTGAGCATGTCATTTAGGCCCTCCATCGCCAGGATAAAGAGGAAAGGTAAAAGGATCTCCTTGTCTCAGTCCTCTCTCTGATGAGAAAAAACCAGAGGGGGCACCATTTATCAAAATAGAGAACTTCACAGTTGTAGTGCAAAACTTAATCCATTTTAGCCATTTTCCTCCAAAGCCCATGTTTTCCAAAGACTTCCAGAGGAAGCCCCAATGCAGGTGGTCGTAGGCTTTTTCAATATCCAATTTGCATAAAATGCCTGGCACCTTACTGTTCTTTCTCTCCTCCACACATTCATTTGCAATCAAAATTGCATCCATGATCTGCCTACCTTTTATGAAAGCCATTTGTTGGACATCCACCAGATTATAGACCACTTTCTTAAGTCTTTCGGTTAAAACTTTTGAAATGATCTTATATATGCTCCCTATTAGACTAATAGGTCTAAAATCCGTCAACTCCTTAGCCCCTATCTTTTTTGGAATCAATGCTATGAAGGTAGCATTAAAACTTCTTTCAAAAATACCATGATCATGGAAATTTTGGACAGCTGCAACTACCTCTTTTTTAACTACCTCCCAACATGTAATGAAGAAAGCCATAGTGTACCCATCAGGGCCTGGAGCTTTGTCCCCAGCACATGCCATGACACAATCCTTTATTTCATCCTCTGTAAACTGACTCTGCAGCATGATATTGTCCCCTTCACTAATCATCTTGTCATTTCTAGCAATGAACTGAGGTCTCCACCTCTTTGTCTCAGTGTAAAGATTCTGATAAAAGTTTAAGATTTCTTCTTTGATTATTGCTGGTTCTTGCGTGCACACTCCATTAACAGAAATCTTATCTATTTTGTTGTATTTCCTGTGGCTGTTTGCAGTTCTATGAAAGAACTTAGTGTTCCTGTCCCCCTCTTTTAACCACAAAGCTCTGGATCTTTGTCTCCAAGCTACTTCCTCTCTCTTTGCATTATCTTCAAATTCAACGGTGAGAACTGCTCTTAAATAGGATTCATCATCTGTGAGTTGTCTTTGGTCTTGTATCCTCTCTAGGTCAGCCAGTTGATTAAGAATGCTCTGTTTCTGTAGTCCCAAGTTTCCCTGTCTTGTTCTGCTCCACTCTTTGAGTTTATCCTTCAAGTCTTTTAATTTACTTGCCAGGATAAAGTCAGGTTTTCCCCTAAAATTACTGGAATCCCACCAAGTCTTCACCATTTCCTTAAAATTTTCTGTTTGAAGCCACCAATTCTCAAACTTGAAATAGGAGTTTGGTCTCTCCCAATTACCACATTCCAATATCAGAGGGCAATGATCTGAAATGACCCTTTGTAATGTCGATTGTTTGATGTTCTTAAAAGTGTTCTCCCATTCCTCAGAGATAAGGAATCTATCCAGCCTGGCTGCAGGATCATGGCCTTCTCCATTCTTCCATGTAAAAACATCTCCCGCTAGCTGGATGTCAAGTAGCTCTGCATCTTCGATAAAATCTGTGAAGTCTGTCATGGCCTTATTAAATCTGGTACAATTTCGTTTCTCTGAAGGGAATCTGACTGTATTGAAGTCCCCCCCAACCACCCAAGGTCCTGAAAAAAGACCTCTCACCGAGCACAATTCCCACCAGACTTCCTCTCTCTCTTCATGCCAAGTCAAAACAGGACAATCAAATTGAAACGGAGGGAGTAGGTTGTACTCCTAAGTGTAGAGTTAACCTTTACATATCAGGCAAAAAAAATGAAAAACAGTAATAATGGTGGAAATTTCCACTCCAACTGTTAAGTCAACCTCAAATTTTTCAACCAAATTTAAAAAAGAAAAGAAGGAAAAAATCACATATTTTTTGCATGGCCTGTGTGTCTCTATTGGAAAACAAGCACTTTATAATATGTTTTATTCAGTTCCAAGAGTCCTCACCACATAAACTATTTCCTGTCCATTCAAGTCTTAATGGCCACATATAAACACCAACTTAAACTAATCACTTACAAGAAAGATAGTGAACAGAGTAAAAGCATATTCATGTAGTTTAACAGGTAGCACCTAGAATAAATACTGGACAAAAACAGTTGCTCACGAAACTCGATGTCAGACACCATTTGTATTGTAAAATATAGCAATGTGTTAAAAGAAGGTTAAAAAAAACATGGAGAGAAATAAGATTAGACCTGCACCTTGAAGGAGATGGTGAACGATTTCTTGCATTCCCATTCTCTGAATAAACCAAAGATAAATGCCAAATGATTAAATTTCTTTTTGACAAGTGCAAAATGAAAGAAAATTGACAAAGCTTAACTAAATGAATCCATGTAGGAAATGAATTGTATACAACTATACATGTAAAACTATGATGTGCAAGGACTAAATAGTTGCAGACCTATAAATGTACAAATTTGCGCAATCTACATGGTGCAAACATTCTGATCTGTGGTAAGTTGTGGATGGGAAAGAAATCCCAGTGGATGAAGAGAGGATTATTGAGAATCTACCACAGGTGTTCAATTGCAAGGTTAGAGCTCTTCTGACCATCAATCTGGAGTTGCCCCTAGGTGCATGTAACAAGGACCAAGCAACATAGAATCCGGTGATAGAAAGACTAAAGAAGAGAATCACAAAAAGGCAGAAAAGATATTTGTCAAAAGAGGGAAAGGAAGTAGATTAAGAGCACAATGTCACGCATCCTCACATATTTCATGTCCCTGTTACAGACACCGGTCAGTGTAATGTGTAACTGAAAAAACTTCAAAGCAACTTTCTATGAGATTCGACGGACAAGACAGAGAAGTTTCACTTGGTTAGTTGGGAGACTGCTACAATGCCATAGAGGTTGGGAGGCCTCAGGTTGAAAGACCTACATGTCTTCAACAGAGCACTAAGAGTGGTTATGTAAATTCGAGAGAGGAGCATGCTCTATAGAAGAAGATGACAGCAGAAAAATATAGTACTAAAAACATTCCTACCCGTTTTCTGTGCTGGTTGTGGAGAACTATTGTAGGAGGGGGTGGTGGTGGAAAGAGTTCACTAGTAACATCACATTTAGAATAGAGGACAGGAGAGAGTCAGCTTTGGGGGTCATAGTTGGTGTGAGGATAATACAGTGAGGACCACTTTTCAAAATAAACCAAGTTTTATACCAGATGGAGAGATAGTTTAACAGATCCAGAGCCAAAAAGTGAGATTTCACTGGGACCGAGGCTTTGGAGGACCCATCAAGATTGGCAGATATCAGAATTTACAGAAGTCTGGTCGAATTGCATCACAAACAAGGATTCATGGAGGTTGGGGTGGGAAGAAATGGCAGGTTCTTAGAGAAAACAACATAGCAAGCTTTTGATAAGGGAAAAGGCAGGCTACGCACACCTTTTGGTTTGAATTCCCAGGACGCCGAGGAAAACATACACTTGGTTTGTAGCAACTCAAGTGATCTTAACAGCTAAAATTTAATAGAACACATATGTCAACTGGTGTTATATGTGCTAGAACTCAGGTGAAGAAGTGGATCATCTCCTTCAACATTGTCAGGTAGCTACTTGATTTTGGTGTGATAACTTTGAGATGGTTTGGAGTTAACATGTACACACCAGACACCATGAAAGAGGCATTGTTCAGCTAGGCTTTTGGAGGAATGGCAAAAAGAGGCATGACGTGGGATGTAGTTCTACTAACACACACGTGGGTCACATGAAAAGAGAACATGATTTGTTACATTTGAAAACCAATCTATTATTTGTAGTTTCATTTTGGTGCAGCCATAAGGTTCTAATTTATATACAAGATCTGGTGGCATTCATAAAACACCGTAGTTTTGTCTAGGGTCTCTGCCTTTTGGAATACCACTTGTACAGTGAAGCTTTCTCCATCACCAGTAAAATTTACTTTAATTAATAAAATAAGTTCAGTTAACTGCATTATTTCATACAAGTCAACTAACAGTCCGCACAATGAAAGCATACTTAGCAGCACCACAAAATGCCTTTGAATTTTCAAGATAATTGAAGAAAATGCTTGGTCAAACGAGTTTTTACAAAACAAATAAAACGAGACCACATTGTGCAAAGTGCTTCAGTAGTAGTTTTAGTCTTCGAATTTAGATAGATGTTTTTACCACTGAGCAACTTCTGTTTGGGTGGCGGATCGCCAAGTTCTTTCCTCCTTTTTAGTATCTGCTGACGCATTCGTGAATCAAAGCCAGCCTCATCTTCATCACTGTTGTCAAGGGATTCCTGAAAACCCGCTTCTGATTCTTTACGAGACGCTTCCTTCTTTGATCCCAAAGCTTCTCTGATGGTCAACTGCACATCCCTTGTTGATTTTCCTTCAGATGAGTCCTGCATAAGTAGTTTTTCCTGTGTTATTTACTCTAAAACATAATAAGTAGTTAAAAAAGGTAGCCTGGTGCAGTATACTCCCACTATGCACTGGATTCAGACAGGCCAAACCAAATTGAGTCTATTGTATGTAGTCTTACCTTGCATAAGAGACTGTTTCCATGACTTGAAACCTTAACCACATATAAATTATAATAATCGGCCGAACCACATTGAGTCTATTGGAAGTAGTCTTAGCTTGCATTTTTGCAGGACACTGTTTCCATGACTTGAAATCGTAACCTCATCTAAATAATATAGTCTATGAACACATCATCAAAAATAATCTGGTGCTTATGACAGCTTACTTAACAAAAATTCCAAAAGTAACACTGATTCAGGAGACGACAATGACAAAAAAATCCAAATATGCTGACCATGATGCTGAGAGCGACACACATAATCTTACTACTCCAAGGTTTGAGATGTTGAAGGGGAAGTCATTTGGAACAAAATAGGGGACAAAATTGTAATCAGCACAACAATAATGATGATTGCACCTCCATGCAATGATTCAAATAGGTACGACATAGCGGTTGAATATGGAATGGGAGCCACAATTATTACCAATATTTTTTGTGAACAAAGAGTATCCAATTTTAATAATAAAAATATTACAAGGAACAGACGAGAAAGGATCCAAGCAGAGCTATTTGTGGTAAATCTGGAGGAAATGTTTAGAATATAAAGTAGCATTATACATAGATTTGGGACTATAACAAGTTAGGTGATAATATTAGAGCAACATTGTAGTAATTTTGGAGAGTTGGATTATAGTGAGCCAAAGTCTAATACATAAGACACCAAATGTGACAACCATGACAGGTAGGCTAATATACAATCATCCTTGTTAAGTTCAGGCTATTACACAACGATCAATGAAGTTTACCCCTCTCCTGTTGGGAAAAGAGAACCATAGGTTATTGAGTAGAGCTTTACAATGGCATGGATCAAATTGTGACAATGGGCTATTTAATGCTTCCTAGATGGATTTATACTAAGCATCTGCTTTAGAGCAGATATTTGAGGCACAAGGATGCAATCCTAGTGCTTCTTAATGAACTCTATTTAAGGAGAGCATATGATTTGAACTTACAAAAATAATACTTGTCCAATCTCAAAACAACAAAAAGAATACTAGTGATGAGCTAGTAAAAGGATGTTCTACATGGAGGCTAAGGGACCCCAGATGCAAGGAAAAACTAGTAATATATCAGGTGCCTCTTTAATCCTACAACAACAACATACCCAGTGTGATACCACAAGTGGGGTCTGGGGAGGGTGGGGTGTACACAGGCCATGCCCCTACCTTTTTGCCTCTTTTATCCTATGCAGAAAAATTCAATTCTGCTTGGCTAAAGCTTTGATGAAACTAGAATTGAACTTCCATTGCTTACAATGTATCAGCAAAAAAAAATGAGGTACAAACATAACCTACTGCACGTCTTAATGTACTTAAGTTCCTTACCCAAGGCTCTCATAAAAAAAAAATTGCATTGCAACTATAAGGGTAGAGCCTTTGCCTACTTTTGTAGATAGAGAAGATGCAGAATTGGAATATCACGGCAAACATAGAAAAAATATAGGCATTACCAAAGCTTGATCATGTTTTCCTTCCTTCAGCAGACGGGGATCATCCAAGACATCGTGACTGCTTCTTATCCTTGAACTCACAGCTACAAGCTCTTTCTCCTCCTCTTCTGCTTCTTCTCCAAATGAAAGCAAGTTCAACTTTCTGAGTGAAGCAGAAAAGGATTTGGTAAAAACATAAGATATTGATGAAAAGATATTTCACTTTCAAGATAACTGCTTCAGTTAGAACTTAGAAGTCGGGAAAAAGATCTTACTTGGTAGCTTTCTGTTTTGCATCTTTCTTCTCAGTTGCAACTCCAGAAGGCAAGGCTTCTGCAGGATTTGCTCTCGGGACAATATCCTCAAAAGGGTTCCATAATACCTACCAATGATTCAAAGAATAAGCTGAGCAATTAAACATTAAACTATTACCTAATCCAGTGGCAGTAGAAGAAGATCTACAAGTCTAAAACTGCCCACAAAACATAAGAATGTTAAAGCAAAATTTGCAAAAAAATACATCTCTTAAGCTAAATATAATTGAGAAAACAGAGAGAATTCCCAGAAATTAAAAGAATAATTTTTTATTTTTTTTTTGAGATAAGGGTAACTTTGTATTCACAAAAAATTCATCATCCAAGGGATGATGAATTGGAAACTTACATCCCATTGGGTGGTGGGCACACCCTCAAACAGTCATATGGAATTACAAGTTTCCTTTAAAATCGACCATCTCTATGCTTTCCCCTACCAACTCTTGCTTACACCAAAAAAATAAAAGACTTTGAGCATTTCATTTCTATCTTCTGAAAACTATCATTTTGTCCTTCAAAACACCTAGCATTCCTTTCTTTCCATAGAGTCCACCATATACAGGCTGGAATAGTCTTCCACCAATCTTCACTTTTCCCTCTGTTGCCAATTTTTGTCCAGCTATTAAGGAGCTCCATGGTTGTCTTTGGCATCACCCAGCTAACCCCTAGTATACACAAAAACATATTCCACAATTTTGAAGCTGCTTTACAGTGAATGAACAAATGATTATTTACTTCTGCTTTCTGCTCACACATAAAACATCTTGAGCAAAACTGCATCCCCCTTTTTTGTAATGCCTCATGTGTAAGGCAAGCTTTTCTTATGACCAACCAAACAAAACATGCTACTTTTAATGGGCTTCTTGTCTTCCACACTAGCTTCCAAGGCCATTTTTTAGTCACTGACTGATTGACATTTATCCTCCAGTAGCATGATTTGACTGTGAACATTCCTTTGCTATGTAACTTCCAAATTGGTTTATCCTTTCTTTGAGATATGGCTGGAGGGGTGTTAGCACCTCTAGTAGCTTGGCCACATCCTCAATTTCCCAGTCATTCAAAGCCCTCCTGAACACTAAGTTCCACCCTTGTTGGCTCCATACTTGCGCAACAGTAGCAGATCTTTGTAAGCTCAAGGTGTAGAGGTTTGGGAATAAGTTCCTCAGGCTATCATCCCCTTTCCAGATTTCATTCCAGAAATCTGTTTTCAGACCATTGCCCACACTAATATAAATATTGTTATTGAACTGTGGCCACAACCTTTTGATGGTCTTCCACACACAGCATCCAAACGACCCCATCACCTCCTCAGTGGTCCATTGGCTAAACAAGCCATATTTCCCTGCTATGAATCTTCTCCATAGGGCTCCATCTTCAGTACAGAATCTCCATAGCCATTTTTGTAGCAAGCAATTATTCTGGATGCTAAGATTTCTCATGCCAAGGCCACCTTGTTTTCTGCTCAAAGTGAGTGTCTCCCATTTCACCAGGTTGTAGCCTTTCTTCTCTTTGTTCCCTTGCCAAATGAAGGATCTTCTCATTCTGTTGATTTTCTTCACAATGCTCTTGGGTATTGGAAATAGACTCATCATGTAGGTAGGTAACCCATCTAAAACTGACTTGATGAGAGTCAACCTACCCCCCAGTGATAGGTACTGACTTTTCCATCTTGAGAGTCTTTTCTCACATCTCTCCATCACCTCATTCCATACCTCCAACTCCTTATTTTTGGCCCCCAAAGGCAACCCCAGGTACTTCGTGGGCAGAGAAGCTATCTGACATCCCAAATTATCAGCTAGACTTTGTATATTGTCTACCTGATTAATTGGGAAGAGGAAACTTTTCGACCAGTTAACATGAAGCCCTGAAATGCCCTCAAATATTGTAAGGATTGCTCTCAAGTGTTTGATTTGTGCCACTTCTGCTTCACAAAAAACCAGGGCATCATCTGCATAGAAAAGATGTGTAATTTCCAGATCATCACCTCTCCCTATTTGAGCATTGAACCCTTTTATCCAACCATTTACCTTTGCTGTTCTGAACATGTGGTTCAGACCCTCCATAGTGTAAAAGAATAAAAAAAATTGTGACAAAAAGAGGAACAATAAAAGAAGCGGAAGCATAGTCAGATGATTTTATTTTACCATTAATATGGCATTTCCCTTTTTTAATCAAATAACGCCTTACAATATAATAAATAAAGAGGTAGAGAAATGGACAAAGTTCTCACAGAAGATTAATTAAGACAAAAAAGCTGCAGCGAACAAGAGAAATTCAAAGAAGGCCATTGATGCTGTAATGGAGAACAAGAGAAATTCACAGAAGAGCATGTAGAGGACAACCAAAAGACAGAGAATAAAATAGTTCAAAAAGATACACATCTTCTGGTTACATACTGACCATAATTGATAGCATCGATGCTGGCCTACTTGCGTTAAGGTTGACAGGCTTCAATGAGAAATCATTAAGATGCTTATTGGGGAAGAAGAGCTCAAAAATGAGCCCAACAATTATGGTAAAGAATGGGGTAAGTGCTACACATATTTCATGGTTCAAGTCCAAGGGGAGGAAAATTGGGCCAACATGAAAACCAAGAGAAGGGGCCCACATGGGACCCAAGAAAAGAGTTAAAATTTCAGCCAAAGTGGGCTGCGAATAGGGGCTGAATTCATGCCCAAAGACAGGCTGAAATGGATGTGCAATTGATACCCAAGAAGGGGCTGCATTAGGCTTGAGTTTTGGTGTCAAATTTTGACACTTCTTTCCTTTTCTTGTTAGGTATTTTTGGGAAGAAGTGTGACATTAATTTCTAATTTTTTTTATTTTTTTATTTGAAAATGGTTATGGTGTATTCTTCAGCATTAAGGAGATGCTGGTGACCTGCAAACAGAGGGGAACAAAAGAAGAGAAAAAATATATATATATATATATATTTACAAGGGTCCTAATAATTCTACAATTTGTTCTGTAACCTCTAAACCTTTCTCTTTACACCAAAAATAAAAGGACGCAATACAATCCCATCTAACCTTCTGAATGGAATTGGACCTATCTTCAAAATTTCTACTATTTCTTTCTTTCCATACTGTCCACCAAATGCAATGTGGAATTATCCTCCGCCATGCCTTTTGACTCTTGCTCCCTCCTCTTCTTATCCAACAACACAACAAATCTGCAGTATGCTCGGGCATGGTCCAGTTTGTTTTTGTGAGACTAAGGAAGATGGCCCAAATTTGTGTTGTAAAGTTGCAATGCAAGAATAGATGCTGGTTGGTCTCTGCTGCGTTCCCGCATAATGAACACCAAGATACTATAATCTTTCCTTTTCTCCTCAGCACTTCATGTGTCAGGCAAGCCCTTCTAGCAACCAACCATGTAAAACATTTTATCTTAATTGGTGCTAAGGTTCTCCATACCTTTCTCCACAAACTCTGCTTAGAGTTGCGTTGCTGTGGACTTTCCATTTTGTATGCTCTGCTAACCGTGAAAGCCCCATCTTTACTATGTTTCCATCTCAAAGAATCAGGAGCATTGATGATGCCAGGGAATTTTTCTAATAGCTCTAGCAATTTGGCCACTCTCTCCACTTCCCAGTCATTCAAAAACCTTCTGAAGATTAGATCCCACCCTTGTGCTGTCCAACATTCATTGATATTTGCATCAGGATTACTACATGGTAAGAACAGATCTGGAAAGGATTCTTTTAGAGGAATCTGTTTGTTCCACGCATCTGTCCAAAACTTAGTGCTCCTGCCATTTCCCACTTCAATGTACGTATTAGCTTCAAGTTTTTGCCATAAGTTTCTGATAGTTCTCCAGACCCCCACCCCATAGGCATCAACATTAACATTACTGCACCAAGGATTGTACTCACCATACTTGGATCTGATGACATCCTTCCATAAAGCTTGCCCCTCTTCATTATACCTCCATAACCACTTCATCAAAAGACTATTGTTTTGTTTCCTTAGATCTCTAATACCCATACCTCCTTTGTCTTTGCTTTTCAAGGTTATCTCCCATTTGACTAGGTTATAACCTTTAATTTCTTTGCATCCATGCCAAAGGAAGTCCCTCCTTAATTTGTCCAGCTTCTTCAGAACTTTGGGGGGTAATGGAAATAGTGACATGACATAAGTAGGAAGGGAGTCTAGCACTGAATTGATGAGAGTGTGTCTGCCTCCCATAGACAAATATTGAGCCTTCCATCTTGCTAATCTCCTTTCTGTTTTCTCCACAATGCCATCCCAAATTTGTATGCTCTCGTCTTCATTTCCCAAAGGCATACCTAAGTAAACTGTTGGCATATTCTCCACTTTGCACCCCAAAATATTTGCCAGATTCAAAATGTTTGTCACCTTCTTGATTGGAAATAAATTGCTTTTCCCCCAATTCACTTTCAAACCCGAGGAAGCTTCAAAAAACAGTAAGATTGTTTTTAAGAATCTTATTTGGTCCTCCCGAGGTTCACAAAAAATGATAGTGTCATCTGCATATAGCAAATGACAAATTTCATTAACTTGTCCACTGCTACCCTGTATCTGAAAACCTTTGATCCATCTGTTTTGTATTGCTATTCTCATCAAGCTATCAAAACCTTCCATTGCCAAGATAAATAGAAAGGGGGATAAGGGGTCACCTTGTCTAAGTCCCCTTTCTGTAGGGAAGAAGCCCACTGATTCACCATTCACCAGAACAGAAAAACGGACAGTGCTGATGCAAAAATGAATTCAACCCAACCACTTTTCTCCAAAGCCTATTTGTCTGAGGGTGTTCAGCAAGAACTTCCAATTTACATGATCATATGCCTTTTCAATGTCCAATTTGCACATTACACCACGCTCAACACCTTTCAATCTTGAATCCACACATTCACTAGCTATAAGTGCAGCATCCAATATCTGTCTCCCTTTAATGAAGGCCATCTGATGCTTGTTGACCAACTTATCCACCACCTTTTTCAGTCTCTCAGCTAGTATCTTTGCTAACACTTTGTATATGCCTGAGATTAGACTTATAGGTCTGCAGTCCTTCAATTCAGAACACCTACTTTCTTGGGGATGAGAGC